GGTCTCCCCCCTATAGATGGAGTAAAAGATTAAAATATCTCAGAAAGCTGATTTCTGTTTACTGAAGTCTGTCCAGCATGGCAGCTATATACCTAATAATAATTCTAAGTCCAAGAGTTTATCTCCCCAGGTCCAACTGACTTGTCTCCTGTGTATATCGTGTACAAGTGGCAACTCTTAACAGCACAGATCTAGAATGGAAGCACTTAGAGGACTTAACCCTGCCCATTTTCTCTATTCATGCAAATATTGCCTTTTTTTTTTTTTTTAATATCTGTGGCAACAACATTCACAGAATCAGTTTCCCTGGGACATGGGCATTTATCCTTCCGAGGTAAAGAATGTAGAAATAACTAGCACATCTTGGTGTCGAGAGACATGTTAATTTGATTCATATTCTGGGCAAAGCCCCCAAACACTCTAGGAAATGACTCAAAGGACAGGGCTAAATCCTAACCAGTGGCATGGAGAATCACATGTCAATGGTGGTTGCCCATCTCCCTGAGATATAGAAGGAACTTCTCCATCACATAGTGATAATGTGGGATACTAACCTATGATGCCATATCACTTGATAATGTATGATAAAAAATGTTTAGTATTATCTGATTTTTGGCATATTTTTATTCTAATCCATTCAGCTCTAAACTGCTACAAACTGGAATTTGAGTAGAGAATAACCCCCTGAAAATAAAATACAGTACCTACTACTAATCTTTTCACTCAGATAATGTTAAAGCAAATCCAGTAAAATGGGCATGAAATAATGAGATCTTTGCAAATGTATGAGTTCTCTTCTGTAAATCACAAGTATTTTCAAGCGCAAAGTTTTAGTAGACCTTGCTGTAATTGTCTCTGACACCCACACACAAGGAAAAGGCTCTCACTAAGGAGAAATGCTTAGTATTGGTGTTTGACTATAGAGCAGTGAATATATCTACTTAACACTAATGTGTGATAATATGAGAAATCCTTGACAAAATGTTATACCTTATATATTTTAAACTATTTTGCATATTAAATATGGTGGTTAGTTAACATGTAAAATATCCTATGGGAATGTACCCTCATAGGGTTGTTAGTTAGCATTTGAAAAACTCTAGTCACTCCAGAGACTGCTACTGTAAGAGTTTTATCTGTAGCACAACACCAGAGACTTTGTTAATGAGTGATTATTTTTAATGATCAAATTAGTGGGTGGTGTTAGATATGAGGACCTGTCCCAATACCATAGGGTACTCCAGCCCTTCTAGGAATAATGTGTAACTCTCTAGCAAGTCAATAGCACTGGGATTCCCAGAATACTAACTTGTGTGTAGAAGTTAAACACAATCAAGTCACCTGACACTGACTCTACTGGAATATTATTAAATGAAAACCCTTTGGTGTAAGAAGGTACTGTTGGCTTCCCTAGGAGCACAGAGTTGGGGTATTTTCAAGCTGCCAGGACAATCTGATCATTACAAGCTGCTGTAGAGCTTCCTTGCTCAGAAACATAAACAACAGAAACTGAACTAAAAACTGCTGTCAGTCTTAAGTAACACCTGGTGGAGTTTGGCACAGGGGCCTACAGCTTTCAGCCACCTCTACCTACTGAAGCTTACACAAAACAACCCAATAATTATAAGTGACCAAACTAACCAAGGATGTTTACAATTTTCTTTAATGAAGGAAACACAAATACTTTTAAGTTTAGTACAATTAGTTCAGTTGCAGTCCATAGTTGAATGGATTTGCAAATGTAGTTCTGATTTTACAGAACTGAGAAGAAAGGATCTGGCCCTGTAAAATATGCAAAAAGCTTTCTCTGCAGTATGTCAAAGTGCCTTGTTAGCTAAACACAAAACAAGAGAAACAAAGAACTGGCCAGGGGAGTCCTGGGCCTGATATTCTGTTTCACACACTTTTTTCTTCTGGCTTTACCAAAGCCAGCTTTTTTTTTTTTTTTTCAGCTGTGCACAGTGGAAGGACAAACAAAACAAACAAAATAGAGCAATAAGTATATTAAAAAGCTGAGTAAGGAAGAGAAATTAGAAATTTGTGCAATGGATCAACAGGGGTGCAGTAGTTTTAATTATTTAGTTGGTTGTCTCTTGAGCTATGACTAATCTAAAGGATATAAGAGTCTTTCTGAGCATTCTGAGTTGTTAAAAAAATACATAAAAATGAGGACACTCACTTGCCTTCATCTTAATGAACATATCTTGTGGTTTTCTTTCCTGTACCTTTTATACCTCTGCTTAAAGGAAAACAAAAAAATCAACCAGGAAATATACTACATGTCCTAAAGAGTATGAACATTATAAGGACAGGGATGGGATAGTCCTTGTAGAAAAGATAATAAATGACTGTCATTTAAGAATTACTCTAAATTCTCATTCCAATATGTTAGGCCAACCCTAGATGTGCAGACGGTTTTAGTGTGGTGCACAAGTGTGGTGCACTGCAGCAATAAGGCACACTCTGGATTCTTGGGATGCCTACAAAATAGGCCATGAAGGCTGTGTGTTTAAGATGGAGATTGAACACGCCCCCCTTTGAAATGCAAAGCTGCAAACCTAAGTGGGTAAGTGCACTGGGGATTTATTTCTGTTTCACCTATGTTTTAGTAAATCAGCTATAGGAAGAGTATCTATCAACTGTGGCTTATTGCCTAATCCTCACTCACTGCCCTTTAAGAATCTAACTTCAAATTTAAATGGCCATCGCCAAGTAGTCTAGGCTCCAAACTTAGAGATCAACAGGCTAAATTTGGATGGCATTTTGGGGTTGAGGGAGCTGGTCAATCAACTCCTTTTAAAGCTCCTTTCTATTCTACTCTATATTTTGAGAGAGCAGATGGGAGGCACCAGTATAAGCAATTATAGTTTACATGACCCATACCAGGTCAGCTATAAAATCTACCAGTTTGTTAAAGAAATAGAGCTAACAGAGAAACAAAGAGGATACTGAAGTAGCTGGCTATACGAGGAATGTCTAGATCCTGAAATTTCTATTCTATATATCAAAAAGAGTAAAAAGTTGATAGTGGGTTCTTCTTGATAAGGAGGGAGCTGAAGGTAGGTTCAAAGACTCCTGAATCCCAGTGCTTCCAAATCCCAACCCCCACATGCCAGAAACCCAGTGGGTTCAGTGTGCTTTTGTAAAGCTAATAACCTACTTCCAGCTAGAACCCTGACCACCTGCAATGTGTAAGAGGTTTTAAAGCTTTCTAAAAGAGATGATGTGTACTTTATGCTCCTACCAGCCCCCACTCCCCAACATAAGTGTAAAACACTCCCCTGGCAAAGTGAACTCCACGCATATCCTCTTTCTGTTGGAAAAAAACTGTAGATTCCTGTATCTTTAATTATACGCTCACTGACGAAATTCCAAGTAATAAAAGCCAAATATCTTCTTTATGTGCCAACTTGGTACAAAGAATAATGAACTCCAAATATGAGGTAGCCTAGTCATGCAGCAATGGGGTCCTTGGAACATCCCCTTTGATTCCCTACAACTATAGCCATTTAAATTACTGATTGCCTAGGTAGCGATTTGAGTTAGCATTTATGTATCCTTTCCCTCTGGAATTGCTGGTGCCCAGGCAATAGGAGGAGCGTATATTACCTCTGGATAATTTATCTGAGGAAGCCATAGCTACTAAAAAAGGAAAGGCACACAAACAAGAATTAGAGCTTGCATAACACAAATCATTGTGTATCGTTGGCATATTGTTAGAAATCCACATGAAAATTCTCCTATCTCCTTGAAGTTGGAAATGTGTACTATTTTATCTGAGTGCTTATGCCACGCTCCTTATTTATGACAAAGTGTTTTTTATCTGTGACATACCTCTAATCTTCCAGAACATACAGTAAAACTATGCTTTTCTTAAGGTATGAAGGGGAGTGATTGACAATGTGTAACACTGTGCTCCTTCTTCTGCTCTCCTGACAATGATAATGACTACCTTCTATCCCAGTGAGTAGAGCCTGACAAAGGGGAGTGAGAAAACTCAAGACACACACCGGCAGGTCCAATGTGCTACAAGATATACAGGTCAGTCACTGTATCATGTGCTTCAGTAGCTCATTACTCTTGTTGACCAGCAAAGCAGGGGGGAGGGACAAAGGACAACATCGGATTTAACACAGACACTACAGTGGAGTGGCTTCTTCAAAAAAACTGTTCAAATTTTCCACCTCACAATTAAGAGCAGGTGTCATTTCATGGTAATTTTCCAGCAGGCTTTTCTGAGGTAGATAAAACAGGGCTAATAAGTGGTCTGAAGAATGCAGAAGGTAGCTAAAGCCAGGCAGATAGGATTAGTTTGAAAGAAATTTCAGTAGTGAAAGCTGAGCTTGTCATGCACAATACTCCAGAGAAGAGGGACAGCGCTCAAGGCTGTCCAGCATTTAGACAGGGTTTTTAGAATTTTAATAGGCGAATAGGCTCCTGGCTAGTGAAGAACACAACTGTGGGAACAATGGCAGAGCAGGAGAACTGCAGTTAGCACACGGCTAATCAAGACGAGGCAGGTAAGAGCAAGAACAGTATCCCTAGGACCTAAGTGATCATGGAGGAACATATATTGCAACATCACACAAGTTTCAAGACAACCCATATCTTGAAGGTTTAGGCTGCCTTTTGTTGTGTGCATAAAAAGAAAATTCTGCTTCTTTCTTCAGGCCTCTTGTTGGTCCACAGGTATTGTAACTGTATTAAGCATGTCTGGGAAAGCCAAATCCCAACTAAATAATTAGTAAAATGGATTTTGAACCCCTTTTTCTGCCCATGTGAGTTACAGATGAACAGGCTGGCCTGCCCGATACCCAGTGAGGTGAATACTCCCAGTTGAGGCTGTTCTTTCTGGAGACTCACTGTGTCATCACAGGCAGATGTACTTTTAAATGAACATGCCATTGTAGGCCAAATGTTAGTAGTTAAACACCATTCTCAGAGAAACACACAAAGCTATAGTCAAGTTCAGAGACACAGTTGGTGGTTAAGAAACTCTTAATGAAAGAATTAAATTCACTTTGGCTCCAAGTCACTCACTACAATTTCTGATACACTTAGGCTGGGATTGTTTTATATAAGAGAGACTAAAATAACTATTGCCCTCAGTTTCTCTCTCCAATCTAAGAATAAACATTTGTTAGGAGACACATTGGAAAAAGAAGAAAATCACACGTAATGTTCTTGTGAGTTGATGTACACTCTCTCAGGGTCGTTGTTTTGATGTTTGCCAGGACTCCAGTCTTGGTAACACATCTGATTGTAAAGGGGGTACATCTGCTGGATCCCATCTTCCCCCACGGGATTTTCATCTTCATAGTCAAATCTCCTGCTATTTAGTCCATTCTAAAAATTTAAACATTGCTACATTAGTAGAGAAACAGTTTGTAATTTTCCTAGCATTTGGGAAAAACAAGCAAGAACGAGATTCCTTATAGTCTGTGTCTCTGATTTGTTAACCATAAGCTATTGAATGACGTAGTAAAATTCAACAATTTATCATTTCCAGTCATTCATTGCTTATAATTCCTGAGCAATATGGTGGCAACTCCTAAATGGAAAATTGTGACTAGTGGAGACTACTCTTTGAAGGTTTTGAAATATGGATCTGGTGTCAATTAAAATGAACTGGAGAACAAGGTTGTGAACTTCAGTAGTCAATCAGCAAGATGAACTTACAAAGTGTACATGAGAGAGACAGAGAATTAAATCAAACAACCAACACAGAAATTAAATAAACCTAAGTGTTCAGTATTGGGGGAATAAAGGAAAGACAGCAAAATGAACAAGTAACTTGTCTGGTTTTTGGACACAACTGAGAATAAAAATATTATAAAAGACATATTGGTCTTGACCTTTCTTCCTTGACCAGCTGACACCCTAAAATGAATTTGCCTGTGGTATCTGTACTATCTCTGTACTGACCTCTCTGCCTCATCATTGGTTTCATGAAAGTTGATTAGTTCCAAGAGGGCCAAGCAACTCAAAGATGAGACATAATTGTACGACAGATACTCAATTAACAAAAAGGTGAATAAAGTGAAATCAAGCAAGGTAGTCACTGGTTGTGTCTGGGCTGACCCCACAAGTGGGAGTGTGTTACTCACAGAGTGCTGGAGACTGTCGCCATCTCTATCTTTGAACTGAGTCTGCAAAGGTAAGTGCTCGGTCTAGAAGACAGAAAAAGAGAAACACTTTAAAGCATCAATGAAACCGATCAATCAAGACCATGGTGACTCCTATTTTTAAAGGAACTGATCACATCTTGTAAATGTCTGCTCTTCTAAGCAAAATGTCCCAAATGAGAATAGGGAAAGCAACTACACTTCTTGAGTTTGTCTCACTCTTAATTCTGGCTCCAGACTTCTGCCAGGAAAAAAACACCCAAACAATCTGCTGAAGTTCTCATGCAAACTTGTTTATATTTCAGTAGAGGAGAGTCTCTTGCTTTTTCTCAGTAGAGGAAGGTGAAACCACTAAAAGTGGTTTGAGGTAGAAGTGAAAAGTTTTATCTATCTATAGGTGCATTTATGGTCACCCTTCTCATACTGTCTGCTACTTCCTGTCTCACAGGAGGCTTCATTGTTTGAAACCTCATCCTATGAAAAATCTTTCCTGGCTTCCCTGAAGTTTACACAGGCATTCTTATCCTCAATCTCAGAAGAAGCACTACTCTTTCAGGGAAGACTTGCATGGAATCCTCTGGCAGACAACCCCTCTCCTTTCTGTTTTCACAGCATACAAGGCTAGTTATTTATTCGCTTGCCTCCTTTACTAGACTGACAGTGCTGACTGGACTACTTCGCAAACATTATCTCATTTAAGCTCTACAATAGTTATAAAAACCCAGCATCTTTATTCTAAATTGCTTAAAACTGAAGCCCTGGTTAAATGAGGTATTTTCATTCATAGAGCCAGTAAATGGTAGATGTGGTTCAAACATGGATTTGCTGAACCCCAGCACTGTATTCCCTGCTTTGTGCTCAGTCCCTTGACAATAGTGTAATAAAAGAAAGCCTGAATGTGTTAGCATTTAGCTGTATCTATTAACATGCTCTATTTCATTGCCTTTGCTTATGTTATTCTTTGGTCTGAAAGCCTAGCTTTTTAAATTTCTGGAAGCTGAAAAAATGTCTAGGATGGCTTCACAAAAGTTATTCTTTTTTCTACAAAGCCTTTCCACATCTGCTCAAAGTTATTTCACTCCTAGTTTTTCAGTTGTTCTTGTTTTTGCCTCTCGCTGTACACATCAGATCTATGTTGTTTTACAGGTCCTGATGTCCAAGAGGAAGTAGTACCTGGACTATAGGGGCCATCTTCTTGTGTATCAACTGGACAATATACAGATATGTGACTTCCTCTATTCTACCCAATATTATATACCTTCAATGGTAAATCACAATACCACACATGGATTCTGTAATACAATATAGCATTCACAATGTCTAGAATCAAGTTAAAATGTACTAGATATCAAGAAAGCAGAAAAAAATCAAGCAGTTATCCCAGAAGAGATATATATGTTGTAATTAGTAGACAAGAACTACAAAACAGCTATTATAAATATGTCTAAGGATTTGAAAACTATTAAAAAAGAAACTGAGAACTTCTGAAACTAAAGGAAATATAATGCTGAAATGAAAAAGTCACTGCAAAAGAAAAGCTCATTGCACTAGAAGACAAATCTGACCATAAAAATAATGGAGAGAGCAGACTGAGGAAAAAAATGAATATAATTTTAATGAGCTGTTTTTAAATAAAAAGGAAAGGAACATGATAGTCAAAAATAAAAATAAGTATAAGGATTATAATATATGGAGAAATAAAATGTAGTAAAATAATATGGTAGGGAGAAGAGACTGAAGTATGTTGTCTTTCCACTATGATACATGTAGTACTATAATGCTATATAAGCAAGACAATGATGTTAAAAATGCACATTCTAACCCCCAGAGAGAACTATAAGCTAAGGTTTAGCAAGAGGAAAACTATGTTCCCAAGTCCATAGAGCTAAGATTAAAACTCGTAATTCCAAAGTCTGTGTCTTAAACTACCACACAAAATTACCTATGTTAAATATACAAGTATTTTTTTTAAATTTGACTGCAAAAGGCAACTTATAAAGAAGACAGAGAATTTGAAAGATAAGAGGGTATAAAACTGAGGAGACAATGGTTAGTATTGGTTAGTTTTGCCAATTATTTTAGGTTTTCTTCATTCTAATTGGTCAAATATAAGTTCTAGCCTCATTTGACCTCCTGCCTGGGCTCTAGCCTCAAAGTAAAAACATTTAGCTTAAACTAAAGAAAAACAAAGGCAGGGATTATTTTTTCCCCAAGAAGTTTGAGCATCTCAAGAGTTTTTAATCTGACCCAGCCCAGGGCTGAGCACATAATGGTCTACTGTGGCCTAATACTTAAACAACAACAACAAAAAACCAACTTGGAGGGCATTTTCCCTCCTGTTTTATTGTTTGCTTGTATCCTGCAGCGATATGATTAGTATATTATAACACAGTGTGCAGTTCCCTAATTTATTATATAAATGATTCAGTGAGACAGTTACAAGAAGAAATAACTACAGAATGTCCTCATGGCAAACTTTTCAAATACAGATTTACTTATATGATACAAGAATATTAGCTATTTTATCCCACAAAATAGCATTGGATTTTTCCCTACAGAAATTTTAACAGCTAGTTGTTGACAATGTTGCCTTATCTAAAAGGATGACAGAGCTCTTTATCACTGATAAATTTCCTTACTTCTACAGACTATATTTTTTTTATTTAATTTTTTTTTAAGATTTATTTATTTATTCATACAGAACTGGGGTACAGGCCAGAGATGCGGAGGGTGAGAGGATTCACCAGAGAGAGAGCGGGAAGCAGAACAGGCAGATCCACGAAGTACACTGCTAAGGGGAGCAGCGGGCGGGTCAGGAGAGGTCTGCCACGCCATGTGGTCACCTCTGGGGCAGGCGGGGATCAAACTCATGTGGAAGTGGCTTTAGCTTCTTAGTGCTGTGCTTTAACCCACTGCGCCACCAGGGAGGGCCATATTTAAAAAATTTTTAAGTGGAATTTGATGTGACATATTTTAATGAAATTTCTTATCTTGGTTTTGTTCTAATTAATTCTTACATTAAAATACAAAAGAAATTTTTACTTCACTTAAATTGTAATGTGTGTTCAAACAAAGTAAAATACTGAATTAAAGCAGACAGATAATAAAAGCAAAAGAAAATAATCTGTGGGCAAATGAGATACTCATATCCAATGTGAAAATATCCCCAATTATAAGGCCACTTCTGGGGCACAAATCAAATGAGTATCATTTGTGTGATTTTCATATGTGTGATTTTCCACAATAAGCAAATACACATTTTTTTTTTTAAAAATTTATTTTTATTTATTCATACAGAACTGGGGTACAGGCCAGAGATGCGGAGGGTGAGAGGACTCACCAAGGACACAAATCAAATGAGTATCATTTGTGTGATTTTCATATGTGTGATTTTCCACAATAAGCAAATACACATTTTTTTTTTTTAAAGATTTATTTTTATTTATTCATACAGAACTGGGGTACAGGCCAGAGATGCGGAGGGTGAGAGGACTCACCAAGGACAGAGCGGGGAGCAGAACAGGCAGATCGACGAAGCACACTGCTGAGGGGAGCAGCGGGCGGGTCAGGAGAGGTCTGCCACGCCATGTGGTCACCTC